AGTTGAAGAAGTGTAAATAGGGCCTTAGACCAAAAAAGCTTTATGCTCATGTCCGACACATGCTGAACCAGTGAGCTACATCCACATCAGACACGAAATACTAAACCTGGGGAGGCCCCATGACTATTCTCACCTTCATGCAGAACCAGACAGAAATCGGGAAGGTCACTATGACGAACAGGAAAGACAAGATGGTCAGAAGCCACTCACAGATGCCCAGACCCGAAGACTTTACACCTAGGAAGAAATCCAACGTGACTCTGTTAGGAGAGGACTGCTCCCAAAATACTGATGGCCTGACAAGTGCCTGCACAGATCAGCTTCAGTGTTGTCCTTTGCCTAGACCCAGTGTATGTGAACCATTTGGCTCTCTCTGGAGCTGGGTTAAAGAATACTCCCTGCCCTAGGTGGCCAGGAGCTGCTAGGATGGACTGACAGATTTTGTCCCTGCTTTACTGTCAGAAATTGAGCCATGCTTCTTCATAGTGCCTTGACTAGAGGGCAGCCTTTAGCTTGAAGACCTGTAGCTACCAAGCAGCGTTGAAAGGCTTGGAATGGGCAACTTGTTGCCTGAGCTGGAATCCCAGAAGCTTATCTGGAAAGATAAGCTAACGGCAAAGAGAAAGATTGTAAATAAGAGGTAGCTTCCAACATGCACAACCTGAAGTGCCCTTCCCTATCAAAGTATCTCAGGTCCTTTTGGAATAGGATTTTAGTCACATCCCAGCTCCCTAATGCAGTGGGACCAAGCCACTGGTGCTGCTGAAATCTCCCTGTGCTCTACAGCAGTCACACCAAGGTGCTGGAGGCTGACTGGGGTGGTCAACCCCAGATGAGTATTACCTTCTACATCTCCCCAGAGTGAGTGTGGGTCATCTTGATCTGGCTGCCCTTTGTTGTGCTCCTGCCTGAGGGAAAATCTGCAGGTATGGCATGAAAATAGATAGATTACTTCTGGGGGTACCTAGACCCAGAGAGTGGGCCATGTTTCCCAGCAGTGAAGTTAGCATCCCTGCATCCCTCCCATTTTGAATCCCTTCTAGCCCTTCCATCCCTGCCCCTTTGCCTCTGAAGCTTTCTGCAGAGCCAGCAGGTCCTGAGGGAGGTTCAGATCCCAAGAACCTGTGTGATCACTCTAGCTCCACAGCACCACTCACTAGCTGGGATTCCTGTAATTGAGGCAGAAAGAGGCAGTTGTCTAAAATTAGTTCCCAGAGAGACAGGAGCAAGTCTGAACCTTTGTGCCACTCTAGGGCAGCAGAGCTGCTGGCATGGAAGCGGACAAGTGATGCTGGCTCCTGTAATACACATCTGCCATGCCTGTGGTGATGCTGGATCCAAAGAGGCCCAGCCGTCTTGCCAAAAGACTCACAATGCTCCCTCCTATCACAGCAGGCTGGGAATCTGCCTAACACATGGCCTGGAGAGGAGCTGCTCTCAAAGGTTATCTGGAAGGGGAGCTACAACTGTGCACCTCAAGTGCAGTTCTTCCCTGCAGTGCAGTTCTTTGGGCTGTGAACTGGCATTGAGGCTAACTCTGTCCACCTAAAGAAGGGCAAGCGAGAAAAGGAAGATAGTAGAGCATGAACAGAACTGGGGAGCAGTGAGCTGAAGCATGAAGGTTGCTGGGGATGTAACTGCTTGTTGCAAAGTTCATTGCTTTGCTAGACAGTGCTGATCAGCCTGCAGTACTGACTGCAGAAGCTGGCTGGGAGGCTGGCTGGAGTCTCCCATATCCTGTCCTGAGGGTAACCACGTCTGTGCAAGGTGGGTATGATGACACTCACCGTGCAGAGAGCAGAGTCATACTGTGACCATACAGGGTCAAAGAGCCCATACCTTTCCAGCCCCTTCCCTTCCATAAGCCATACCTTCCTCTTGCTGCTCGCTGTCCAGCAACGCCATTGCCTCCATTTCTTCATCAGATATCACATCATCCACGTCTACCACCGTGGACGTGTGCACCCTACCATCAGTCCCTGCAGTGCTCTTGATCTCCTTTGCTTTCTCCTGCTTTATGTCTCCCCTTCCTTTGCCGGCTTCTCTGCTGCTCTCCCTCTTCTCTCGTTTGCTCTGTGTAGCTGGGGATTCTCTGCGTCTCCTATGAGACTCCCTGGAAGAGCTCCGAGACCTCTTATCCATCCTCATCTGTGCTGAGGAGCGTGCAGCTGTCTGTGGGAGTTGGATGAATTTGTGCTTGAATTTATTGCTGCAGGCAGGAAAACCAGGCAGGGGGCAAGAGAAGGGGAGGTGTCAGATCAAGGAGGCTTGTTTCAAGTTTATCACAGGCTTGTCAGACATAATAGACAGTGAAGTGAGCAAGCTGTTTCCCAGCTGCTCTGCTCTCATTGCACACTGCTGTGGAGAAGGGAAGGAAGGTTAGACCTGGACAGGGTGGACACCAGGAGGACATTCTGTTTGCCTTTGGAAATAAAATACAATCGGAAGCACTCAGACGATTTTTAATAGCTGTTTTCTGCAAAGCCGTTGAAAAGCAACCTAAAAGTAACTGTCAGACATGTGGCTCCAAAGACCTCACATGGTGAGAGTGGCCCAGAGCAATAAACACCAGGGCAAAAAACCTTTATTGGTGAGACTAGTGGCTTATTCAGGAGTGTTTGGAGGGGTTGTTGTGAAGAATGGCTGTGTGAGTAGCATCTGACACTGTTCTGCTCTCTAGAAACCCTTCGGCTGGCACAGTGGAGGGATATCGGCAGCAACCTCCCTCTCTCTAGGGTCACCTCACATTTTAGCAGGGAGGGAAATTAGCTGGTCCCAGTTCAGCCATGAACTTTCCTGAATTGCAGGGTTAGAGCTGTCGAATCAAAATTGCCAAAAGAGTTTGTGCCTAAATGCCTCCCTAGTTTTCCACAGCAGGAATGTGGCACAGCAAACATAGGAGCTTTTTCTTTTCATGCCGCACAGCCTGTGGTGACATCTGCGGAAACCTCTGCAAGAAACACTTTTAAAGTGTTTTAAAGTCCCTGACTGTATTAAAGAAACCAGCACCTGGCTAGAAATCATACTACAGCAAGGCAAGGCTGGAACATAAAGCAGTGACTTCCCTGTCAACAGGGCAGTGCTGAGCTCAGGGATGCCCGGTCTCTGGTGTGGAGGAGCAGCTGGAGGGAGCTGGGAAGCCGGCTGGGGAGGTGCTGCTCTTGTTTTTTCACGGATTCCTACTTTATTAGAGACTTATGGCCTGTCTGGAGTCAGGATATTGCAGGCAGGGAGGGCAGGAGCACCAGCTCCCTGCTTTCTCTGCTCCGTCGTGCTGGGTGCCTCGTCAGCAGGTGACCGGGGAAGCAATGGAGAGGGCTAATGGCAGAGGAGAAAAATTGGGTGGAAATAGGGCGTAATCAATAAATTCATACAGTGCCTGTATTTGCTTTGGACATGCTCCAGAGACCTTTTTTACTTTGTGTTTATCACTTGGCCGGCATGGGGCAGGGGGAGATGGTCTCCAGCTGCTGAAAGGGGAGGTGACATTTTAAGCAGCAGCAGTAAATGGCAGCTCAGGTCTAGTTTTGGCCGGGCAGCACGGACTCTGGTTGATTTATTGTCAGAAGCACCATGGGATATTTAACACCTACAAACCTGAAACTTTCTGGGTTTGTCTGATGTTTAATTCAGCCAGTGGGTCCCGACTCCTCTGTCCCTGGGGGACGTTTTTGGCTGCAACCTTGGGACAGGGGAGATGCTCTGAGAGCATGTGCTGATGGATTTGCAACTTTTGCTGTCCCAAAATCCACAGCTTCACCCCCCCCTTGTCATACTGAAACGTATCGTCGTGCAGAAATCAACTGCACTGTTGAGGTTTCTCAAATGACTGCGAACCCTTAAGAAACAGCCATCGCAACCTAGTTCACCACGCTCTTCGGCCTTGGGAAAGTCACTCAGCATCTCTGCTGTGGATTTTCCTCTCAGATGGGACTAAAAAATAAAAGACTACTCTTAATTACGTTGGTGTTTAGGTTTAAATACTGTCGCCTTAAAGGAACTGGTCCTTTTTTGTCTGTGGCTCTTTCGCAATGCTCTAACTTTTCCTGTCAGAAGGGAAACACACCGAACATTTTCAGGGGCAGCAGCTCCGTGCAGGCTCCGGGAGTGGGTCCCGCAGGACAGGCTGACTGCCCGGGGCGGCAGCGGCAGGCCCCTCAGCTG